GGTCCACCAGTGGGGCCAGGACACTAGAAGCCCCCCCACACACTGTTGCCCCCCCCAAGCACCAAGAATACAGAGCATCCCTTGCCCCAGACTGAGAGTTCCTATCTATCCCTTGTGGCTAAGAGCAACTGATGGACCTCTGCCCCATATGTTTATCCATAAGAACATCAGAGAAGCCAATATTGGATCAGGCCAATGGCCCATCCAGTCCAACACTCTGTCACACTGTGGCCAGAAATACCAGGTGCCACCAGGAGGTCCAGCAGTGGGGCCAGGACTCCAGAAGCCCCCCCACACTGTTGCCCCCCCAGCACCAAGAACACAGAGCATCACTTTGCCCCAGATTGAAAGTTCCTATCTATACCTTTTGGCTAAGAGCCACTGATGGGTCTCTGCTCCACACCAAATTGGAGAGCCAGTTTGGTGTGGAGAGAACCAGGTTTGATTCCCCACTCCTCCTCCACTCGCACCTGGCTGGATGACCTTGGGCAAGCCATAGTTCTGACAAGAGCTGTCCTTTAAAAAAAGCAGTTTCTGTCAGAGCTCTCTCAGCCCCACCCACCTCACAGGGTGTCTGTTGTGGGGAGGGGAAGGGAAAGGAGTTTGTGAGCCACTCTGAGACACCTTTGGGTAGTGAAGGGCGGGGCATAAATCTAATCTCTTCTTCTTCTTCTCTCTCTTCTTCATATGTTTATCCATAAGAACATCAGAGAAGCCAATGTTAGGATCAGGCCAGTGGCCCATCCAGTCCAACACTCTGCCACACAGTGGCCAGAAATACCAGGTGCCCCCAGGAGGTCCAGCAGTGGGGCCAGGCTGAGAGTGTGTGACTGGCCCAAGGTCACCCAGCAAGCTTCCGTGGCAGAGCGGTGGGGATTCGAACCCAGGGTTCCCAGATCCTAGTCCGACACACTAGCCACTAAACCACACTGGCTCTCTGGAAAGCACTCTGCACATGCTCTCGTTGATGTTGTTACCAGGACTTCTGAAACATGTGACCTCTGGAAAGGGAAGGTGCTGGAGCTCCCTAAAGTCTCTTTCCAGTGACGGGCACCCCTGCCTCAGGCTTTCGCTGGTGGCGTGATGCTAACTGGAGAAAGGTGTGGAGTCGTCTTCTGTGGGTTTGCGAGGAGTCAGGGTGGGGACAAATACGGAGTGAGTCAGCTCCACCCGCCTCCCAGCCCCGCGGGGAGGTACCTGCGAGCGAGTCCTCTGGAGGACGAGGAGGGACTCGTGGGAGAGGAAGTCTGCCCATTCCACGTGGCCCTTCTTCTCGGGGTCCAGGGCGGCAAACTGCAGGGTGTCGCGCTCGTCCTGTTCCTCGTCATGCTGCTGCTCGCCTTCCTGCTGGCTCGCCAGGCGCCTGTGGCGCAGGAAGTCCTCCAGGCTCAGCTGACTCTCTGTGGGCCACCAGACGGGCAGTGCCAACAGGGTGAAGAAGAAGAAGAAGAAGAAGAGATTGGATTTATTCCCCTTGCCCTTCACTTGGAGTCTCAGAGTGGCTTACAAACTCCTTTCCCTTCCCCTCCCCACAACAGACACCCTGTGAGGTGGGTAGGGCTGAGAGAACTCTGACAGAAACTGCTCTTTTTCAAGAACAGCTGTGCCAGAGCTTGTGACTGACCCAAGGTCACACCAGCAGGTGCAAGTGGAGGAGTGGGGAATCAAACCCGGTTCTCCCAGATTAGAGTCCGCGCACTTAACCCACAACACCAAGCTGGTGGGAGGGGGCATGCCCAGCCCCACCCAGACCAGTGGCCCAGGCTCCTCCTAGACACTCAGGAGACTGTCCTTGGGGCACAGGAGGGCCTTTGGCCCAGTGGCCAACTGCGCCCCTCTCTGGCTTTCCCATTGTTGGCACTAGTGTTCCCTCTAAGCTGAGTCGGTGTGAGCTAGCTCACAGTTTTCTAGCCTCCGGCTCAAACATTTTCCTCTTCGCTCAGGAAGGAGGGCTCCAGAGCAAACTAACCTATGCAGCAGCCGAACCGCTCACTCACGACTTTTAATGGCCAGTCGCTCACAAAGTAGAATTTTTGCTCACAAAACTCCGCAGCTGAGAGGGAGCATTGGGCTGGTTCCAGGTCTTGAGGGGCCCTGTGCAGACCGTGCCCAGCCCACCCCCCGCCCACCTCCAGGCCCCCTCCCTTCCAACACCCTCACCTGCTTGCCCCACACTTGCCTCTGTACCCTCCCTGCACGCCCAGGCTCACTGCCTGCCCCACCTGTGCCCCCTTTCCCCAAGAGCACTGGCGGGTCCAGACAGCCGGGAATCCTGCTGCCCCTGTGCGTGACCCACATGGGCACCTCCCATAACGCTGAGCAGCCGGAAGGCCAGGTCGTGGAGCAGCTGAGGCAAAGCGACGGAGAGGGGCAGCTGCCCCACTGCAGGGAATGTCGTTGCCAGCCCCGGTTGGCACCCCCTCCCTGAGCCCCCTTTCCACTGGGAGCGGGGATGAAGTCTGGATCTGCCTCCCACTCCTGGTGGGGAGAAAAAAGTGCCCCACCGGGGCCTCTTGCCTACCTGGCGTGACCTTGCTCTGCTTGAAGGATTCTGCCAGGGTGCCCGTCTCTTCCTCAGTGAGGAGAAGGTTGAGGTTGTCCTGGGGTTGGGGGGTGGGGCAAGAAGAAGAGGACGGGCGTCATTCAGCTTGTTTAAGGAATGGGGAACCAAGTAAGGGATGAAACAGGCCCACTTTCAAAGGTGGTGGACGGCCGTGAGGCTTCCGTAATTCTCCCAGGATTACAATTGATTAAAATGTGGAATTCACCGCCAAAGGGTGTAGTGATGGCCACCGGGATGAGCAGCTTTAAAAGAGGGTTAGAATACAAAGATTCATGGAGGAGGAGTCTCTCAACAGCTACTCATCATGATGATTGACGGGAACCCAGGGCTGCCAACTCAGTTAGGGAATTCCTGAAATTTTGAATGTGGACACTGGGGAGGGGAGGGACCTCAGAAAGGAATAAGGCCACGGAGTCCACACTCCAAAATCACCATTTCCTCCAGGGGAACTGATCTGCATGATCTGGAGGTCTGTTGTAATTCCAGGGGATCCCCAGGCCCCACCTGGAGGCTGGCAACTCAGAGGAACCTCCACATTCAGAGGCACTAATCCTCTGAGTCCCAGAGCCAGGAGGAAAGATCAGGGGAAGGCCTCGGCCTCCGTGCCCCTCTCGCTGGCCATCCAGAGGGACTGGTTGGACATTTTGTGGGAAAGAATGCTGGACTAGAGGGACCCTCCCTGGCCTGACCCAGCAGGGCTCTTCTGATGTTCGTCTCAGGGGAAGGCCTCGGTCTCTCTGCCCTGTTGCTGGCCCTCCAGAGGAACTGGCTGGCCCCTGTGTGAGACGGGATGCTGGACTAGAGGGACCCTCCCTGGCCTGACCCAGCAGGGCTCTTCTGATGTTCGTCTCAGGGGAAGGCCTCGGTCTCTCTGCCCTGTTGCTGGCCCTCCAGAGGAACTGGCTGGCCCCTGTGTGAGACGGGATGCTGGACTAGAGGGACCCTCCCTGGCCTGACCCAGCAGGGCTCTTCTGATGTTCGTCTCAGGGGAAGGCCTCGGTCTCTCTGCCCTGTTGCTGGCCCTCCAGAGGAACTGGCTGGCCCCTGTGTGAGACGGGATGCTGGACTAGAGGGACCCTCCCTGGCCTGACCCAGCAGGGCTCTTCTGATGTTCGTCTCAGGGGAAGGCCTCGGTCTCTCTGCCCTGTTGCTGGCCCTCCAGAGGAACTGGCTGGCCCCTGTGTGAGACGGGATGCTGGACTAGAGGGACCCTCCCTGGCCTGACCCAGCAGGGCTCTTCTGATGTTCGTCTCAGGGGAAGGCCTCGGTCTCTCTGCCCTGTTGCTGGCCCTCCAGAGGAACTGGCTGGCCCCTGTGTGAGACGGGATGCTGGACTAGAGGGACCCTCCCTGGCCTGACCCAGCAGGGCTCTTCTGATGTTCGTCTCAGGGGAAGGCCTCGGTCTCTCTGCCCTGTTGCTGGCCCTCCAGAGGAACTGGCTGGCCCCTGTGTGAGACGGGATGCTGGACTAGAGGGACCCTCCCTGGCCTGACCCAGCAGGGCTCTTCTGATGTTCGTCTCAGGGGAAGGCCTCGGTCTCTCTGCCCTGTTGCTGGCCCTCCAGAGGAACTGGCTGGCCCCTGTGTGAGACGGGATGCTGGACTAGAGGGACCCTCCCTGGCCTGACCCAGCAGGGCTCTTCTGATGTTCGTCTCAGGGGAAGGCCTCGGTCTCTCTGCCCTGTTGCTGGCCCTCCAGAGGAACTGGCTGGCCCCTGTGTGAGACGGGATGCTGGACTAGAGGGACCCTCCCTGGCCTGACCCAGCAGGGCTCTTCTGATGTTCGTCTCAGGGGAAGGCCTCGGTCTCTCTGCCCTGTTGCTGGCCCTCCAGAGGAACTGGCTGGCCCCTGTGTGAGACGGGATGCTGGACTAGAGGGACCCTCCCTGGCCTGACCCAGCAGGGCTCTTCTGATGTTCGTCTCAGGGGAAGGCCTCGGTCTCTCTGCCCTGTTGCTGGCCCTCCAGAGGAACTGGTTGGCCCCTGTGTGAGGTGGGATGCTGGACTAGATGGACCCTCACTGGTCTGACCCAGCAGGGCTCTTCTTACGTTCTTATGTACAACTGATTTTGAGACAACAGAGACCAGTTCTCCTGGAGAAAGTGGCTGCTTCGGAAGGTGGCCTCTGTGGAATTTTACCCTACCGAGGTCCCTCCTCTCCTCAAACCCCGTCCTCCCCAAGCTGTACCCCAAATTTGCAGGGATTTCCCAATCTGGAGCAGGCAACCCTACCCACTGTGGGCAACCCCGCCCTCCTGCCCAGGGCAAGAGATTGAGCCACCTGGCCATTCCCCTGGAGGGCAGGCTCCTGCCGCCTCCGCCCCCTCCCCGGGCCTTACGCAGTGGTAGCAGCTCCAGCCGGTCTCGGTGTGGGCGGCCTCGATGAGCTCGCCGGCCTTGTCCTGGGAGAGGAAGCCCATTCGGCGCAGGCAGCCGTCGTGGTAGACCCGGGTGCAGACCCGGCAGGGGAAGAGGCTCTCGGCCGTCCACACCTCGCAGACGTCGCACGTCTCATCGTTGGTCACCTGCAAGAAACAGGAACGGGGAGGGAGGTCTGAGGGGGGGGGCAGCAGCAAGACACAGCAGCCCCCCCCCCCGCTCTGCCAACTGAGCCCCTCTCAGGTACATAGTCGGGATTTTGTGGCTTGTGGGGCGAATTTTTTTCCGTTGGGGCTGAAATTCTCAGCGCAGAAAGAAAAGCCATTTAGCAGATAGAGAGCTGCTACCAGGATAGATCTCTACATTGCAAGCTCTCAGCCACTTTAGATGACAGTTCTCAGCTGCTGCAAGTTAATCACTTCTGCTAGCCTAAGCAACAATTCTGATCACAAGCCGCCAGGTGGGGGTGATGACTTTTCAAGTCAAGTCAGGAAAGCTTACACTGAGGCAGAAGAGATCTCTTAAAGGAGATCAGTTCCTTGACACAGAGTTAGAAGGGATCCTAGAGGTCACCTACTCCAACCCCCTTGCTCAGTGCGGGAATTAGTCAGCTACAGCACCCCACTCTGCTTAAAGGAGCGCATGCCTTTAAAAAAAATGTTTAGAAATGATTGGAAAAAAGCATTTACGGGATAAATTCTTGTGTGGCCGTGCCTTTAAGAAAGGGGGTGGAGCCCAAAAAGCCCCACGGTAGCTACAGGCCTGACCCCTCCTCAGAGGCACAAGTTAGGCTGGGAGAGTTCCCTGCAGGGGTTTCCCTCAGATGTGCATGCATTGGGGCCTGTGGGTAGACTCTATGCTGCCCCCAGGGTCATCTAGTCTCACCCCATGCACAATGCAGGAAATTCACAGCTGCCTCTCCCCACCCCTCCCCCAGGGGCCCCATCCCCTCCTTCAGGACCAAGAAGGCCTGGATCAGATTCCCAAAGTGGAGACGCTGGGTCTTGCTCGTGCCTCTCGTCTAATAGCTCCCCAGTGCAACTCACAGGATGAGTCTCTTCAGCGTAGGCTTCTCTGGGCCTGCCCAGTCATTTGGTCACTTTGGGAGGAAGTCACTACTCACAGCCACATCAGTTTCCTCTTAGAATATTCATTGATCTTCAAGGATGCTTATGTATTTTTGAGCCATATGCCTATCCCACGGAGGCTGAGGGTCAATTTCCCCGGAGAAACTGGCCACTTGGACTCTGTGGCATTATATCCCGACGAGGTCCCTCCCCTTCCCAAACCCCACCTTCTCCAGGCCCCGCCCCCAAATCTCCAGGTATTTCCCCACCCAGAGCCGGCATCTCCACTGACGGCCCCCTTCCCTCCCCGCCCCGCCAGGCCCACCTGTTCCTGCTCTTCCAGGCTGATCTCAGGGGGCTCCTGGTAGTGCTTCCCCAGGGTGGGGCGGGCAAAGGCTGGCGGCGTGAAGCAGCTGGCGCGGTTGAACTCCTCAGGCTCCACGCCCCGCCCGTCCCGCAGTCGCTCCCAGGCTGCCCTCCGGACGCTGTTGCTCTCCTCCTGCCGGGCCGGGCTGGCCGAAGACCCCCCTTCGCCCCCTTCCTCCTCGCGCAGTTCTTGCACCGTGTCCTCGATGGTCCCCCGCCGGCTGGCGGCTGCTTCGGACTTGCGCTTGGCAGCAGGCCGCTCACGCAGCCCGTCCTTGAAGGCCGAGACCGCCAGGCTGACCTTCTGCACCTGCTCCACGGTCTGGCGCTTGGACATCAGCACCCCCATGGCTGTGGGGAAAGAGAAGGGAGGAACAGGGTGGGGGACCAGCAGGGGCCGGGGGTCCTGGGCATGCAGCCAACCCTGGAGAGGCAGGGCTTGCGGGGGGCAGCGGAGGAGCATCGGCAGAGGTCCACTCCCCACTGGACAGGTCGCACCTTCCCACCAAGGAGGACAGTCTGTCCAAGAGGACTTTCCAGGCTTTCATTGGAGCCATCTCCCATTCTCTGCTGCGCAGGGGGCTGGAGGGGGCCAAGTGCCCTACTGGTGGACCTCCTGATGGCCAATGCTCCCTCTAAGCGGTGCAGTCTTGTAAGCAAAAATTGTACTTTGTGAGCTCTTGGCATTAAAGTGGTGAGCGAGCAATTTGGCTGCTGCATCAATGAGTTTGCTCTGGAGCCCTCCTTCCTGAGCTGAGACAAAAATACGTGTGATCCAGAGGCTAAAAAACTGAGCTAGTTCACACCAACTCAGCTTAGAGGGAGCACTGCCGAGGGCCCCTGGTGTTTTTGGCCCCTGTGTGACACAGAGTGTTGGACTGGAGGGGCCACTGGCCTGATCCAACATTGGCTTCTCTGACGTTCGTGTGTTCTTAAGGGTGACCCTTCTGCATTCCTTGACAGAGAGAACAGGGCTTCAAGGAGCACAGTCATATTCTCCAAAAGGCCATAACAGAACTGGAAAAGGTGCAGAGGAGGGCAAGAAAGATGATGCGGGAGTTGGAGCCCCTTCCCTAGGAGGAAAGGTTGAGGCATCTGAGACTTTTCAGTTGGCAAACTGATGTTCTTATGAAGGCCTCGGCTTCCCTGCCCTGTGGTTGGACCTCCAGAGGAACTGGCTGGCCACTGTGGGAGAGGCGGGATGCTGGATGAGATGGACCCTCACTGGTCTGACCCAGCAGGGCTCTTCTGAGGTTCTTATGAAAATCTTGGCCTCTCTGCCCTCCAGAGGAACTGGCTGGCCCCTGTGTGAGACGGGAGGCTGGACTAGAGGGACCCTCCCTGGTCTGACCCAGCAGGGCTCTTCTGAGGTTCTTCTCAGGGGAAGGCCTCGGCCTCTCTGCCCTGTTGCTGGCCCTCCAGAGGGACTGGCTGGCCCCTGTGTGAGACGGGAGGCTGGACTAGACGGACCCTCCCTGGTCTGACCCAGCAGGGCTCTCCTGGTGTCCTTCTCAGGGGAAGGCCTCGGCCTCTCTGCCCTGTTGCTGGCCCTCCAGAGGAACTGGCTGGCCCCTGTGTGAGACGGG